TCTATATGGATTTTTTATGTTCTGTTTGACTCTGCTCTCAACATACCGTTCTTCTGGCTGCTCTTTTATCCAAATTAGCAGCAACCAAAACCGGCGCACGAAAATGCATGGTGAATGGTTGGAAAAACTAAACTGAAACTAATGCTTACGTCCCGCCGGTGAGGTCTTGGGTTTGATTCCCAATTTGGTTCCTGGATTCGTACTGCTGTTGAGACCCAACCACGAAAAAATTCACCACATGAAGGAGTAGAATTGTGTGCAAGAAGATAACATCGGACGATTTGTAGCAAGATTGGGCCGATAGATAATTATTTTTGCATCTTAGCTTTCTGGAGGGGTAAGGAGAAGCTGCTTCTTTTCAAACAGTGTATTTCAATTATACTCATTAACTGCATTCCAAAAGGTATATTTATCCGCTTGTAGATGATTCGGCGGGCTTTGTTTCTTCCCTTACTAACACGGTTCTATCACCGTGTATTGAGTAGAACTGTGTCGACTGGATTTCACATTGATGATGCACTATTTGGGTTCACCGAAGAGGAAGTAGAGGTTTGTTCCGTTCTTTTTATGCTGCTCGAATCTCTGAACCAGTTCCGAAAAGCACTCGCTGAGTTTGCCGTAAAGGAGATTCAACCGATTGCCAAACGGGCGGATGAATCAGAGCACATCCCAAACATGCGGGTAGCCCGTTTTTCAAGGCTGAACGCTTGTTTAATTGCTTCACTTACAGGCTGTTTGGAAGAAACTGGGACGAATGGGACTTTTAGGTCTTACAGCGCCTGGTGAGTGACTGTGCAGTTTGTCGAATGTCAATTTCCGCCTTCTCTTTTTCCCCGATAGAGGTGTATGGTGGATTGAATCATGGATTTCTGGCCCAGTGTTTGGCCGTGGAAGAATTATCGCGAGCATCCGGTTCCGTTGGGCTAAGCTATGGAGCCCATGCGAACTTGTGCGTCAATCAATTGGTACGCCATGCAAATAATGAACAAGCAAAAAGGTATTTACCTGGTGTAAGTCTGTTTTTCTGGAAAAAAGACGCAGTAATTTTGAAAATAGATTGATAGAACGTATTTGTTTGCATTTAGTTCCACTCACTCAGTACGATCTCAAATGCATCCGTGATTGCAGGATTTTTCTGTCATTGTTTGTGTGGCTTGGCACAGGTTAGTGGAATGGAACTGTTTTTCGGCTTCGGTTTGCATATCCATTAAGCTTGCACTTGGTTTGAGGACTTCCGTTGATTTCATTCAACTATCTATTTGTTTATCCCATAGAACAGTAAAAACAATATAAAAGCCCCCAGCAGTGCCAAAAACTAAGATACGGGATGCAGTTAAACTGAACGTGTGAGGTTAATAGATACAACAAAGCCATTGCCTACGTCATTCAGCTCTATTGCCCAGCGTTCTCCAATATCATCATCATCTTACAATGTAGAAAA